GACCAAAAAAAAAAAAAAAAAACAATTCAAAGGATCAATAAAACAAAGAGTTGGTTTTTAAAAAAGATAAACAAGATTGATGTACCCTTAACTAGACTCACCAAGAAACAAAGAGAGAGAACCCAAATACACAAAATCAGAAATGAAAGAGGAGAAGTAACAACCAACACCACGGAAATACAAAAGATCGTTAACAACTACTATGAACAACTATATGGCAACAAATTCGACAACATAAGCGAAATGGACAAATTTCTAGAAACACAGTCTCCCAAAACTGGACCTGGAAGAGATAGAAAACTTGAACAGACCAATAACAACTAAGGAAATTGAAGAGGTAATCAAGACTCTCCCAGCAAACCAAAGCCCAGGCCCAGATGGCTTCACGGGGGAGTTTTACCGAACATTCAAAAAAGAACTAACACCCATTCTCCTCAAACTATTTCAAAAAATTCAAGAAGAAGGAAGACTTCCAAACACGTTCTATGAGGCCAGCATAATTCTAATTCCAAAACCAGAAAAAGACACTACAAAGAAAGAAAACTACAGGCCAACATCCCTGATGAACATACACGCCAAAATCCTGAACAAAATATTAGCAAATCGGATCCAGAAATACATCAAAAAAAATTATTCACCATGACCAAGTGGGATTCATTCCAGGGATGCAAGGCTGGTACAATATTCGCAAATCAATAAATGTGATATACCACATAAACATAATGAAGAAAAACCACATGATCATATCAATAGATGCTGAAAAAGCATTCGACAAAATCCAGCATCCATTTCTGATAAAAACGCTCAGCAATGTGGGAATAGAGGGATCATATCTCGACATATTAAAGGCCATATATGAAAAACCTACAGCCAACATCATACTCAATGGACAGAAACTAAAAACATTTCCATTAAGAACAGGAACAAGACAGGGATGTCCACCTTCGCCACTCTTATTTAACATTGTACTGGAAGTCTTACCCACAGCAATCAGACATGAAGAAAAAATAAAAGGGATCCAAGTTGGAAAGGAGGAGGTGAAACTGTCATTATTTGCAGATGACATGATATTATACATAGAAACCCCTAAGGACTCCATCAAAAATCTACTCTACTTAATAAATGAATTTGGCAAAGTAGCAGGATACAAAATTAACGTCAAGAAATTGACGGCATTCTTGTACACCAATGATGAACTCACAGAAAGAGAAACTGAAAAAACAATCCCATTTACCATCGCGCCAAAAAAATTAAGATACCTGGGAATAAACGTAACCAAAGAAGTAAAGGACCTATTTGCAGAAAACTACAGGTCATTGAAAAAAGAAATAGAGGAAGATATAAAAAAGTGGAAGCACATACCCTGTTCATGGATTGGAAGAATTAACATCATTAAAATGTCCATACTAGCCAAAGCAATCTATAGATTCAATGCAATCCCCATCAAAATACCAACGACATATTTCATAGAACTAGAACAAATACTTCAAAAGTTCATATGGAACCAAAAAAGACCCCGAATAGCCACAGCAATCTTGAAAAAGAAGAACAAAGTAGGTGGGATCACAATAGCAGATATCAGGTTATACTATAAAGCGACTGTAACCAAAACAGCCTGGTACTGGAACAAGAACAGGCATATAGACCAGTGGAACAGAACTGAAAACCCAGAAATGGACCCAAGGCAATACGCTCAATTAATATTTGACAAAGGTGGCAAGAGCATACAGTGGAGTAAAGACACCTCTTTAATAAATGGTGTTGGGAAAATTGGACAGCTACATGCAAAAATATGAAACTAGCCCATCAACTTACACCATATACAAAAATACACTCAAAATGGATAAAAGACTTAAATGTGACCCGTGAATCCATAAAAATTCTAGAAAAAAATGTAGGCAACAAAATTTCAGACATCACACGCAGCAGAATTTTCACTGATACGTCACATAAGGCAACAGAAACAAAGGAAAAAATGAAAACATGGGACTACATCAAACTAAAAAGCTTCTGCACAGCAAAAGAAACAATCATCAAAATGGAAAGGCAACCCACTGTATGGGAGAACATCATTGCCAATGATGTATCAGATAAGCGGTTAATTTCCAATATATATAGAGTGCTCATACAACTCCACAAAAGGAAGACAAAGAACCCAATTAAAAAATGGGCAGAGGAGCTAAATAGACACCTGTCCAAACAGGACATACAAATGGCCAGGAGACATATGAAGAAATGCTCAACATCACTTATCATTAGAGAGATGCAAATTAAAACAACAATGAGGTATCATCTCACACCTGTCAGAATGGCCGCCATCAACAAATCATGAAACAACAAGTGTTGGGAGGGTGTGGAGAAAAGGGGACTCTAATACACTGCTGGTGAGAATGCAGACTGGTGCAGCCGCTGTGGAAAACAATATGGTGTTAACTCAAAAAATTAAAAATTGAACTTCCATTTGACCCAGTGATCCCACTTCTAGGAATATACCCTAAGAAGCCTGAAACACCAATCAGAAAGAATATATGTACCCTCATGTTTGTAGCAGCACTATTTACAATAGCTAAGATCTGGAAACAGCCCAAGTGTCCACCAGTAGACGAATGGATAAAAAAGCGGTGGTACATATACACAATGGAGTACTATGCAGCTATAAGAAAGAAAGATCTCTTATCCTTTGAGACGACATGGAGGGACCTGGAAAGTATTATCCTAAGTGAAATAAGCCAAGCAGAAAAAGACAAACACCACATGATCTCACTTATATACGCAATATAATGAACATAACAGTCTGAGGAATACAGTAGACCTAGAAACATGGAAGTAGGGCACAGACTGACATCCCTCTGAAGAGGGGGTGGGGGGGTGGGAAGAGATAAACCACAGAACTTATATGCATGTATGCATGACCAATGGACATGGACAACTAAGCTGGGGACGGGGCGGGGGTGGGGTGGGGAGCGGGGTGCCAATGGGGTAAAAAAGGTAAAATATCTGTAACAAAAAAATAAATAAAAAATTAAAAGATAAAAAATAAATAAAGTGCAGACAGATTTGTAGGAGTTCAAAAAAATCTTAAAAGAGGCCTTTCCAGGGCTTCTTTCATTGTGACAAAAACCATGATGTATCCTCAGTGGGGGGAATGACATCTCTGGCATCTTCGTGGTGATGTCGAAGGTGGGTCCCTGGCAGATGCCGCCCTGGCCATTGCCCTGGCTTTGGGGCTTCCGTGGCTGCCTGTGCTGATCCCACAGAGATCACGCCGTGGAGCGAGAGCAGCTTTGACGTTCTGTGGAAGTCCACAGCAGCAGAAAGAGAATTCAGCTTGGGGTGCTCTAGGACTACATTAAGAAATCTAATAAGTTACCCGTGGAGATTTACCCGAGAGATATTCTAGGGGCAGAAATGGCCAAGGGTGTTTCTTGAGACCCACTGTGATATGGCCCCAGACTTCCTGACAGAACCTGTGTGGAGAGTTATCACCTGAGAGTCTGGGGTACGGGGCTCTGATGGTGACCATTCCCCTAGTTTGTCCTCTGCTAACCAGTCTATTATTCGTTGCTGTTTGCCAGCCTTTGGGAAACTCATTTGTCCTTATCTCACGCCGAGGAACCCTTTTATTGAATGTCACCCCTTTTTTAAAACAGAAAATTGGCACAGAATGTGGTACTTGGGTAAGAAATGTACAGTTGACCAAAGTATCTGCATCTTGATGTAATACTTTCGGGAAAAGTCTTGGTGTAAAAATTAATTTTGTCCATTAATAAAAAATATTTGAAACTCAAAAAAAATAAAGAGTGCCTTTGAAAGAAAAGTTGGGAATTTATTTGACTTATAATTAAAAAAACTTAATTAAAACAAAAAACTCAAGCAGTCGGCTAGCCTACCCACTGGTTTGTATAGGTGGTCAATAAACTGACTTAGGGTGCGGTCTGGGCAGACTTCTAAGCAATTCCAGATGTCACCAGGATTGAGGACCACTAAGTCATCCTTACAAAAAAAAAAAAGAAAAACATAATCTTATCAGTTGACCAGTCCACAGAACCCTGTACCAGAATACCACAACCTCCAGAGAAGGGACACAATGACATTTTTGTTTTAATCTGTATCCTTCCAGTGTATGTTTAAATGCACCATATTATGTATCACAAAATCCCATAAAACACATTAAGAAAAAAATACATCAATAACCTGTTGAGCAGCTGGAGAAAAGCAAGGTGGAACATTATATTGGGAATAATGTTTTACATCTAGATCCCCATTTTTAAAATGTTGGCTTCAATAATCTATATGCTTTCCCTATAGTTTTTAAGCCACAAATTTGCATAATCATTAGCAGAGCCAGACCTTGAAAATATAGTCACTAATTATCCGAGGCTCTCTGTTTTCAAAATTTATGGTCAAATTTATAAGAGGAATAAGAAAACAACCCAATTTTAAAAATGGGCAAAAGACTTCAGCAGATATTCTAACAAAGAGGAGACACAGAAAGCAAATAAGGGCATGAAAAAATGTTCACCATCATTAGTCATTAGGTGAGGCAGTAAAAACCACAGCGAGATGTGCAACATACCTATTAGAAGAGCAACAAGCAAAAACAAATGAAGACCTGACAGACTCAGTGCTACCAAGGACCAAAGCAACACAAGCTCCCAAACACTGAGGTGGGGACCCAGAAAGGCTACACCACACTGAGAAACAGTATGGCAGTTTCTGTAAACTATACAAGGAAGAACAGCCCGTGATTCTCAAGAGAAAACTCCCAAGAAAATGGTCAGGGACACAGTTTATGTCCGCAGACGTCCAAAGGGCAGTGCTGACAGTCTAAGTAAAAGAACAAGAGTAAACGTCAAATGTTAAGGCCCAGTCGGAGTGAGGAGGAGCTAACCCACCGAGGCTCCTCGAAGTCTGACCTGATGCCTTTCCCTGGGTATCTGTTAACGAAGCCCATGGTGCTGTAAGAAACATTTCCCTGCAGCCTGGCCCCCAATTCTTACCTCCCTCATCCCACCTGTAATGGTGGATGCTTGAGGGGTCGTGTCAATAATCTGCTGCAGGATGCTGATGTAGGTCTGAATTTCCAGAAGATTCTGTTGGGGGAAAGAAAGCATTCTCAATAAAACCTGGGCTGCCGCCCTGGCCGGTTTGGCTCAGCGGTTAGAGCGTCGGCCTGCGGTCCGGAGAGACCCGGGTTCGGTTCCCGCTAAGGGCACATACTTCGGTTGCAGTTTGTCCCCGGCCCTGGTTGGTCGTGCGGGTGGCAGCCACTCGATGTGTCCCTTCACGTCGACGTTTCTCTCTCTCTCCCTTCCTCTCTCTCCCTCCCTCTCTATCTGTACAAAAAATGGAAAAATATCCTCGAGTGAGGATAATAAAAAAAATAAAAAATACATAAAAAAAAACCTAGGCTGCCAACATTTCTCCCTCCTGGACTAGGTGACCAGGGACGACTGTTTTCACATGTTTCACTGTCACAAACAGGACAGGCCATGATCTGTGCAGAGAGCACTTTACATCTCTAATCCTCACAAGATCAGTGAGGCAGGTGAATACTGAGGCTTCTTTACTTCTCCATTTCCCTTCAGTACTGGATGCTCTGCTGCTGCCTTGACAGAGCCCTGCAGGCAGGACTATGGGAGAAAAGCAGAGATGGAGGACACAGGTGCCCCAGAGGGTACAAAGGGCCCTTTCTGACACCAGAAGAGGGCAGGGCTTGACAGGACAGAATTTACTCAGTCCCAGGCTAAATCACTTACTAGCTGCATGAGGCCTCGGGCAGGCTATTTATACCTCTTAAAACACAGGCTCTTCCATAAAAGTGGGGTCACAGTCTGAAGAGCACCTGTGCCCAGCTCTGTGCATAAGGACTGGTAATGATGACTCCCGCTGTGCCCTCTCCAGAGAAGTTCCCTGGGCCGGACAATGGCTATCATGTCCAAGAATCGGCTCAGCTCCCCCCCATCCAGTCCCATCCCCAGCCCCAGCTAGTGACTAGCTGGCACAGGAGTACAGAAGACCAAGCCTCTTGCTTCAAGGTGAGGACAATCTGGTGGTCTGACTCGTGATCCAGAGCCCCAACCCTGCAGTGGGATCAGGCCCTGCCCAGTTCCTACCTCTGTGCTGTCCTGCTCCTCTTCCTCCCTCCCCTTCTCCTGGGTGCTCTCCACTCAAACAGCAATCACCCAAAAATCACCACCTTAGGTTCTGTTGATGGGTAACCTGACCTAAGACACTATCTCATGAGGCAGTTGTTGAGATCCAACAAGATAATGCACAGAAGTGTCATAGTGTGAGCTCTCACTATTATTATTATTATTATTATTATTATTATTATTATAAATGGCCCTGAGGAATGTTTTGAGCTACTTAAGAACCACCCCAGGCATTGCTCCCAGCATTCCAGAAAGCACAGCGGAATCAGGAGAGGAGGAGAAACCAGGCTGGGCCTGATGGAAAGTTGGAGGAAGCCAAAGGGAGGGGAACATCTCCTTAGTGTAAAGCAACAGGACTGCCTTCATGCTGAAGCAGGTACGCACTGAGGTAGGAAGAGTATCTAATGCTTGCCGAGCACTGGCCAAGGTCCAGGTTATACCAGGTGCTTCACCTGCATTTTCACATAGCCTCAGTCTGGATTTCCCCAGAAACAGACTATTAGACATTGAATGTTGTGCCCCTCCCCAATTCACATGTTGAAGTCCTAACCCCAGTAAGATGGTATCTGGAGTTTGGGCCTTTGGGAAATAAATAGATTTAGATGTGGTCATAAGGGTGGGGCCCATGATGGGATTAGTGCCCTTATAAGAAGAGGCACCAGAAAGCTGACTCTCTCTCTCCAAGCCCATGCTCCTGGGAAAGGTCAGGTGAGTACACAAGAAGAGGGCTGTCACCCTGATCTTGGTGTTCCAGCCTCCAGAACCGTAAGAAATAAATGTCTGTTGCCTATAAGACACCCAATATGTGGTACTTTGTTATAGCAGCTCGAGCTAAGTACAGACCTTAAGAAAATGGTCTGAGCCCTGGCCGGTTTGACTCAGCGGTTGGAGCGTCGGCCTGTGGATCAGAGAGTCCTGGGGTTCAGTTCCCGCTAGGGGCACGTACCAAAAGAAAAAAAGAAAATGGTCTGAGTGCAAATGATTCATTTGGGCAAAGACGCCAGGAAACATGAGTAGTGGAGTGAGGAGGAGAGATATTGAGGGGAAGGCAGCCAAAAGGGGGTGTGTTATCAGGTAAGTTACCACTGTGGGCTCTGGGAGTTCAGGCCCAGAGGGGATCTCTAGGAGCTGGTGCAGAACAGCAGGTAAGAGGAAGCTGGGGGATGTATCCAGCAATTCATGTCCATCACTGACTAAGGCCACACCCAGGGGCATTAATTTCCCAACACTTCCCATGAGGCAGAGCAGCTCTTGCTGCCTGTAGAAAGCCCTGGATCAGGAGTGTTGATACTGGCAGTTAGAGGGAGGCCAGAGTTCACTGGAGAAGCCAGCTACACTGAGTTAACCACAAAGCCATGCCGGAAGGAGAGTCTGACATTTGCATTTTGAAGATAAAAAGCTCAGAGAGGTTAGGCTACTGGCCCATGATCACACAACTCCAGGATTTTATGTTTCCAGTACACCAAGCTTCCCCCCCACCCCCACCCCCAGTCAGGCCTCTAAGAAGCTGGCAGGTTGGGGGGTAGAGAAGAGAATTACATGAGAGGAGGTTCCTGAATGCCATGTATTCCCTCAATTAACTGGTTCAGTGGAAGAGTTAAAATATACATATTGTATTTTCTGCATTTCTACATTTTCTCAGCTGAAACAACTGACAGGCTATAGCTTAATCAAGACAGATCTAAGTAAAATCACTCTGTAAACTGTAATGTACTATACAGCTATTAGTTCCCAGCCCCCCACCCCCACACATGCACACACCACTGCCTCCTCCTCTACACGTCTGGCTCACTAAGAGCTGTCTAGCAACCAACCCAACACCCACTTGATTCAGGACCAATGCACCCAAAAGTAACCCACTCTAGCAGTCTTAGTTTTCAGCCATGAGTGCCCTGGACTCCTGGCGAAACCTGAACTAAAATTTCTTGGGGAAGAGTTTCAGAAAGGTCACGGTTACCTTTTTGTATCTGTCCTTTGCTGCACTGGTATCGTCCTGCAGAAACTGGGCTTCAATCTGAAGGTGCAGATTATGCAGTAAGGCTTCATCAGCTTCCTGCAATGAGAAAGAGTCACACCTGGCTCTGCGGAGTGCACAGTGGAGGCATCCAAGATGGTGTGAAATTGGCCAGGTGTATGTACCCACAGACCACCTGGGGTCTTATTAAAATGCAGATTGTTCGGTCGGTCTAGGAGGGCTTTAAGGTTTGGTATTCCTAGCAAGGCATTGGGTTAGTCCACTGGACCTGGTCTAGAATAGTAGTTCTCGATAGGAGTGACTTTTGCCCCCAAGGGGACATTTGGCAATGTCTGAAGACATTTTATTTTCATCACTTGGGCAGTGGGATGTTACTACTGACATCTAGTGAATAGACGCCAGGGATGCTGCCAAATATCCTACAATACATAGGACAACCCCACCCAACAGAATTCTCTAGTCCAAAATGTCAACAGTGCCGGGGTTGAGAAACCTTGATCCAGAATGATCAGGGACAAAGGTAGGGTATAGTTACATATCAATAACCTTACAATTTTAGTTACATCTACATTTGCTCTATATCTCATCATCAGTGAGTTAAGTTTCTAAGACTAAGAAATCATTTTCCCTTAACACTGAAAGCTTCAATTTAACAATATCCTCCCCAGGACTGCTGTCACACCATGGGACTATGTATCTCTAATGTGCATTGTTTAGAATGATTGCTGTGGTGAACAGCCTTTGTTCCTCTAAAGTTGAAAATGATATTTATGACAGAGAATTAAATGTTCTCACCAAACTTTTTGGTAATTCACTGATTTTTCTCTCATTGATCTTGTTTGGAAAAACCAAATAGATTTGTGCTCGTAATACGATAGTGCTGTGAGGAGGGGACTGGCCTAAATACTTCAGTGGGCAATGCAGGTGACTGTTCCTGGGTCCCTCGGGACTGCCACTCTCTCGGACGCTTCTCCATGCGTGCCTGCCAACACCTGAGGCCTTGCCAGCTGAATGTTTACTGACTTATTAATGATTTGTTAAAAAGCATGACAGATGTTAGCAATGTGCTCTCATTAATAAAGGTTGCACTGGCTGGTTTGGCTCAGCAGTTAGAGCGTCAGCCCGTGGACCAGAGTCGGGGTTCAAATCCAGTCAAGGGCACATACCTCGGTTGTGGTTCAGTCCCCAGACCTGGTTGGGGTTGTGTGGGAGGCAACCAATCGATGTGTCTCACATCAATGTTTCTCTCTCTCTCTCTCTCCCTCCCTCCCTCCTACTCTATCCGAAAATGGATGGAAAAACATCCTAAGGTGAGGATTTAAAAGAAAATAATAAATAAATAAATAAATAAATAAATAAATAAATAAATAAATAAATGTACATATGTGCTTTGGCTAAAATATTTAAGACACTCTCCACTCTTGCGTGGAGCTAAGAGAGTCAGGTCTGTGAACTGGTTGAGATATTTTGAGACACTGCCACCACTGCTCTAAGAGGATTTAGGTTCCCGGAAGGCCTCTGGCCTGCTCTCTCAGGAAAGACATGTGATTCCTTAATTGTTCCTGTGAAAGACCACTGGAGAAGGAAGATATGAGACTGTCTGATGCTGACAATAAAGATACCAGGATTCTGACTCTACTGGATCACTAGCCTTGAATAAACTTTTCATGTGAAGTATTGCCTTAGCACCTAAAACATCTGAGAACCAGGACATCATGGAGCCTAGAAACAGGTTGTATGAACTTTTGAGGGCCTGCATCAGAATAAATGGTTACTTTAGAAATATATGCCTGTGTGAATCTGGTCTGAAACATCAGCAAGACTGTAGGAGAGTAGCTAACGCTCCAACAACTCAAACTTCTGAAGCTATTTTATCTACCAAAAAAAAAAATTGAGTTTATCTTAAAGAACTTATTCTACAAGGTCAAAGTAGTTAATTCGAAACAATTAGGAAAGTATCTTAAAGCATTCCTTTTAGTATAGAGATATGCAAGTAAATATTAAGTTATTCCAATACAGCAGGAATCGGGCATAATTTTAAAGTTTCTAGTAGCCCCATTAAATAAAATAAAAAGAAATGGGTAAAAGTAATTTTAATGTTTTATTTCACCCAATATACCCCAAATACTGTCATTTCTTCATGTAACCAATATTTTTTTAAGTTATTAATAAGCTCGTTTACATTATTTTCCTCAGGCTAGGTCTTTGGAGCCTGGTGAGTATTTTACACTTATAACACATGGCGATTTGAACTGCCAGCATCTCCATCACTCGTGCGCAGCCAGTGGCTCCCAGGCTGGACGACACAGCTCCGCAGGAGTCATCCTAGGCACAGTGGAGCACCTCATTCTTCCTCAGGGGGTCCTCCAGGTTTCTGTTCCAGGGTGAATCCCCCAGTCTCTCTAGCTTCTAATTTCCAGTTACCTCATCGTTTCCTCTGAAGACTCTGAAATCCCTTCATGGGTACCAGGGACACCAATACTGGGTGACAAGATGGAAGGAAGGACTACAAGACCCAGAGCCCATGTGAGGCAGGTACAGGCAGGAGTAGAGTCTGTATGTCCATGGCTCATTGTCCACCTCCCAAGGATAGTCAGGAAATCACTATCTCCCAGGAGGCAGACATTAAGTCAGTGTTTCTGGGTAAAGAAGGCCCCTTCACACTTGATGTTGGTGCCCCATCCATCTCCCCTGGGCCACCCCCAAGGTCACAGACATGCTGAACACACTGGCAGCTTCCTGTATCTCTCTGCCTGTGGGAATGTGCAGGAGGCACAGTCCTGAAGTGTGGATGTTAGCACCCCAGGAGTGACCCTGGGCCACTAAAGGATAGGAGAAGATGGGTGAATTCCTCCTCTGGCCACCCCCTGTAGCAACAGTTCAGAGGTCAGCTCCTCAGTATCTCAGAGGGTAAGATAAGAACTCAGCACTCAACTCTTGACAAACAGAGAGGAGCCCAAGACAGACTCTAGTCCCATTATCTTCTGTTAACTTTCATGAAGTAGCTGCATGACCCACTGGGTCAGCCTGAGCTCAGCTTCCCCATCTGTGAGGGCAGACTAGTTTCTGAGCTGTGTCTGGCAGAGCCCTCAGGTCCCATGGAGTCACCTGAAGGGGCTCCAGGGGAGAAGGGTTGCTGGGTGGATGGGGTGTCTGACCCACCATCATGTCCTTAAAAAGAGCATCTCTGCCCTGGCCGGTTTGGCTCAGCGGTTAGAGCAGCAGCCTGCGATCCAGAGAGACCCTGGTTCGGTTCCCACTAAGGACGCGTACCTCAGTTGCAGTTTGTCCCTGGCCCTGGTTGGTCGTGCAGGTGGCAGCCCCACTCGATGTGTCCCTTTCACGTTAATGTTTCTCTCTCTCTCTCTCTCTGTTCCTCTCTCTCCCTCCCACTCTACCTGAACAAAAAGTGGAAAAATGTCCTCGGGTGAGGATAAAAAAAAAAAAAGAAGAGCATCTCTGCTTTGGCTCTATACATTGGCTTCTGTGGGATATTTTGTTTAAAGGATGTGACTTTAAAAAGTTTGAGAATCAATGACTTCTAGGGTCTCTTCTATTTCTAAAATTCTGAGTATTTGATCCCTTTATTAGCAATAACACACAGGGTCCTTGAAACCCAATTTCCAGTTCGTCAGCTCCAGTAATTGTGTATCAGTTGTGGATAATTTTTTGGTAAAAATTAAGATGTTTGAGAATTCTGTGCCCCACCCCAACCTCAGCAGTCATTCTTCCCCCATCTCCCTCTTAGGATCATGCCAAAACAACCACTCTTAGGTTCCATCAGCCAACCCTTTAAAACTGCTCATGGAGATAATAAAAGCCCAGCCAACATTTGTCCTTAAAGGAGAGATTAACCAGGTGCTTCTGCAGGCACGTTGTCTCCCTTTGAAGACAGTCACCTGATACTGTCCCAGAAAACTCCCGAAGGTGAGCAGGTGCCACTGGAATGTGCTATTGCTGGCATGTTGAAAAGAATTTGTGTGGGAGTTTTTCTTTTGTTTGCACCAGAACTCAGAAATGTGTAGACGCTTGTGTTTTTATTGTGCTTTGGATGCTGTCAGCTACACTTTCAAAAGCTCCCCCAGCAAAAGCATCTAGATTTTTCTGAATTGAGACTCGGGGTCAATAGTCTAGTTTTAGGAAACATTCCAACTCTGATGTGGTGTGTTTTAGATCTAGGTCATTTGTCTCAAAATGTGACCCCTGGACCATACCACTTGGAAAGTTATTAGAAATGTTAAATATCTGGTAGATCATAGACCTACTGGATCAGAATTTCTGGAGTTGGGGCCCAGGAACCTGTTATAACATACATTCTAGGTACGGTCAACACACACAGAATTTTCAGAGCCACTCAGTGATCTACACCATGTTCGAGAAAGGGCCTAGAGGAATAACTAGAACCCAATGTACCCTTGAAAAATCAGCCTTACCAACCCACCCACAGAGATGCTAAAAATTCACTGAAAATGTCAGTGTCTCCATCTTCACCCAGCCCTAAATCCAACCTCTGAGCAGCCCAACTCAAAAACAAACATAACACTGCTAAAGAATGAGTATTCAAGTTAATTAAGATTTCTAGTTAATTAGACTGGTTTTTTCCTTTATTGATTTTAGAGAGAGAGAAAGGGAGAGGGACAGAGAGAAACATCAATGAGAGAGAACACAGACTGACCACCTCCTGTATGTCCCTCACTGGGGATTGGGCCCACAACCTGGACATGTGTCCTAACTGGGTATCAAACTGGTGACCTCTTGGTGCATAGGTCGATTCTTAACCACTGAGCCACACCAGCCAGGCTAGTTAATTAGGTTTAACTTAAAAAATTAAAAATACCTACTTTGATCCACAATGTCCAAAACCTTTCCGAAAATGTCCTTCTAGGTGTTTAGCCTGGAGAACGGTGCTGGGCACGTTCTACAACTCTCCTCCCTCTCTCTACCTACTGCCTCTTTCCTGACTCTGCTCTCTCTCCCTCTACATCTTCCACACTCTTCCTCTGCCATTCTGTTTTCTGACTCTCCCCACCCCCAGCCTGCTTCCAAATTCTTCTTTCCCAGTTCCCTCTCCTTCTCTT